TATTGACTACTTCCGCCCGCGCCTCTTTCCCGCAATGCGCACTTGTCTCACTCGCAGTGTTGGTGAGCCCACAAGCTCTAACCCCTAGTAGCCACAATGAGTAGAAAACAACGAACACACCCCGGTCCGTGAAAAAAATGTCTTCCACGAAACCGGTCCCTGGTGCCAAAAAGGTAGGGACCGCTGCACTAGCGAGCATCAGAGCCAGATTTAGACACTGAGGGGGGCGTGTCCTCACTGAGGGGGCGTGTCTAACACGCCCCCTCAGTGAGGCAGCTGTGATAGCTGCCTCCCCTGGTGCTTTTGCATTGCAGTTTTATGACGAGGCCGGCGAGCCTAAATATCTTTATACACATATACATGAAATAAGTTAGCTGGAGTATGGAAGGAGAGGACATGTAATGAAAGGGTCTATGACCATTACATTGGTGACATACTCAGATAGTAACAGGCACGCGCTTATTGCCCGCGTTCCATCCAGTTACTGAGGGGTTGCGCAATCAGAGGGGAGGCAGAGCTCGTCGCTGCCTCACCTCTCGTCTCTTTTTGTATTTGTAGCGAAGCTCCGCAAATTTGGCGATTTTGACTATAAAAATGATTGGAATCGTAGAGAAATTACATTTATAACACAGATCAGTGGAAAATCTTAATTTTATTCTTCTTTCTTGTACTTTTAATAAAAGCTATTTTCATTTTAACACGTAGGCTTTCGCGACCAATATCATCCATAATAGAGGTTTTTGGGTTAGATCGCTGTAAATATATTTTCAGTGGAGTATGACAGGCGAGGCTCTGCCTCCGCTGCCTCCCCTGACCGCACGTGGCCGGAGCCGACGCGGTCTGACCCCTCTGACCCCGCGTGGGTCACGGTGGAGTCAAATCGCCCAGGGGCCCACACACAAGGCGCCGTTTTGGTTTTTTTCTGTCGCGACAAATGGATCCGTGGGCCCTCCTCCCCCGCGGGGCGTTCGTCCGCGGAGCCTCCGGGAAACTCAGCGCGGCCCTGGGGTCTCATGCGACCTCGCGAGCCCCCCCCCCTTCCACCGCCTAAGCCTGCTATCGACAGTACAGCACAACACTCACGCATCATCAGACACCTGACCCCCCCAAAATTCACGCGGCAAGCCCAGCCGGAGCACGTGCCCCCCCCCCCTCCCTATTCACGCGGCAGGCTGAGCCAGGAGTCAGTCGGGAGTCCGCGAACTGGTTTGACAAGATGTTCCGTGTGCGGGTGCGTGCGTGCGTGGGCGAGGAGCGGTGGCGCAGCGGTTAGCGCACTGCGCTTCGAGGCCGGCGACCCCAGTTCAGTTCCCGCTCACGACCGGTAACAGTGGCGACATATTTGGACCAGTCCTGGGCCTCCCCTAGGTCGGCTCAGCTTTAAATCAGTAACCTCGTGGCGATGCGAGGAGGCCGGGCATGGTGCTGCTCGCTAGCAGCACTTTCCCCAACGCTCTGTTGCAAGGCTATACGGGGGACCTTTGTCTGTGTATGCGGGTGTCTATGCGTGGGTGTGTAATCATGCCATCCAGCACAACCATCGCACGCACAAAGATGCCCTGTGTCGCCTTGCGCAGGCAGCCCGAGGCGTGTTGCTATTGGGGAGCACCTATCAAGGCTGGTGTTTGCCGTGGGGTGGAATGGAACTCTGGTGGGCGGGTTCGGAGAGCCAGCGCGCTAACCACTGCGCCACCGTTCCCTGAATAACACCCACGCATGCACGCACACGTATCATTTTGCAAGCACCGTGGAAAATTACAAACCGCACGCACGGCTGTAAAACCAGCACCCGGAGTGCGAGGAGCGCCTCACACCCTGGACACATCCACGTTGATCTCTCTGCGATTTCCTGTCAGCAGCCCTGCAGAGCCAATGGTGGGAATTCCACATTCCTATGGCGGCGGTGGGGGGGGGGGCGAATTTTATCCATAGCACAACCGCGATCGACTTATTTTTAAGTTTATCGACCCCGGAGGGGATGATGGGTCGGCTGAGTGGGCAGTATAAGTGGGTTCACCACACGCTATGGTGGGGTAAAGCGTGGGTAGGCACAACCTCTTGACCACCACGTTTGGTCAACGTGCAAAGAGCAGCCCAGCTGCCGCTACAGAATTGGCCCTGGTGGATGTCCTTCATCTGCCGGCAGTGGCCTTCAGCCAGCAATTTCAGGGCTGCGCCTCTAACTGTTCAGTGTAACTGTGCCAGGAATGCGAGCGAACCAGCGCCTCTGGGTGGATGGGCACGTGTCGGCCTGCCCAATAAAACAAGAAGACAAAGACCCCCCGTGTAGCCTTAACAGACTGTCGGGGCAAGTGCTGTTAGCGAGTAGCAGCACCGATGAAGGCCGGCACGGCACACGAGGGGGTGGGGGGCCAGAAAGCCACGCCTGGCTGCCTTTGTGTCCCCAGTGGCGATGTTTACTACACACCGCACCAGGTCCGCATTTGAGGCCCCAGGATATTCGTCACAATTAATAGGTACAAGGGGAGGGAAAGGACAGATTCATTAATTATATAACACAAATTTTGTGTATTTCTATTTCTAGATTTGAAGCTTTCGTGACTGCAATGATTCATACTCTTAGGGGTTTTCGGTAAAGTCACGTAGGTAAAAATGAAACATAAATATAATAAAATTATAATTGTATTTCTAGAATTTTTCTTTTTATTTATTTATGTTTACCTACGTGACTTTTACCGAAAAAACCTAAGAGTATTTCTTTTTCCTTGATTAATTTCACTCTATAAAGGCGCGGCCCTGCAACTCCTTTGCTCGCGCGCCGCCGCTGGCAGGAGCCTCCTCAACTTGCGCGATCTCTACGGGACACACATTGGGCTCTCCTCTGCCACGCTGGCTCAAACAACTAAAACTAAACTATGTTTTATTTGACCACGTAAGGCCCCAACGAGCTCTGTAGCTCTTTACCAGAAGCCGTCTGGCTATCACGAACGACAGCTCAACGAAGTGGGGCTATCGTCATCACGTGGACATTTCTAGCAGCCAAATACTCTGGACCCGCGGGGAGAGAGAGACGTTCTAGATTTGAAGTTTTCGTGACTGCAAGGATCCATACGTAGGTGAAAATAAAATGAAAACAATATAAAATGAAAACTAAATTAAATCACGACGTTTCGGAAGCAACACAAGCCTCCGTCATCAGGTGGAACTGCTCCAGCAAAGAGAGACACGCAAACTCCAAATATACAGCAGCAGACGTCAGGGTCTGGATCAAACTCGCGACCTCCTGTATACCAGGCGAGGTAGTTAACATCTCCTATCCACCGTGATGATGATGATGAGAGAGAGACGCACACTCAAGATATACAGCAGGCATCGTCAGGGTCGGGAAAAAAACACACTCTGATAATATATGCATTGTCTTTGAAACTGATTGGTCCACACCAGAGACAGCTTTCTTTTGAGCCTCGTCTCAAACGGTGTTAGACCAGATGACGCTAAAAGGCGCACAGCACAAAGACAATGCCACATTCAGAGTAATGAGAGCTCGGGGTAAGCATCTACATATTTTTTTTGCATTCTGACCACAAGCATTGTGGTTAACGCAGACGTGATTCCTTGTAAAATGTTTCAGTTTGGTGGTTTAACATCTTCACACAACTGTTTTGTTGCCAGAAAAAAGGGCAAACCCTATTATCAAACCTATTAGATTGAATTGAATTAAACGATGACGTCACCCTGAGGCTGCTCTATTTAAGACCGGAAGCAACAGGAGAGCTTCACCATTCTTGCCCGATGAAGCTGATTGTAATTATCAGCGAAACGTCGTCCTACTCACATTTTAAAATGCTGTTGATTCTCTCTTCAGCACACCGGTGGGCTAAAGAAGTGAATTATTTTGTCCTGGAAAACGTGACACATTTTTTACTGTTTGGCCGTGTCGGGTGGTGGAGGGTTACGACACATTTATAAATAACGCGATCTGACCCAAAAACCTTTATTATGAATCATATTTTGGTACTGGCAAAGGAGGTCCCATGAATTCGTTACTAGTACAGCACACCGGTGTGTTGGAGGGCAAGCCACAACATTTACAATCTGAATACGACGTTTCGGTTGTAATTACAACGAGCTTAATCAGGCGACAGCCAGATTTGGTCACAAAAGCCGACGTGTTAGACCAATTCTTCAATATTTTTTCATATTTTTTTAAATAACAGCATCAATCACCGTCCCACACTAATCCGAAAACTTGGCAGGACCCTCTTGAAAACGAGTCATGAGACTCGGCGAGGCTTTCCTGGGTGAACGAGCGGAATGATAGGGTAATAATAAGAATGATAAAGTCTGCGCCATGTCAATGTGTGAATGGAGCCCAGGACGCGATTGCCCTGTCCGCACGCAGAGTGACGTCGCTGCGATTACACCCACATTTAAGACGCTCATTAAAAATCCAATTTGTAAACTGCTTATGAGCGTCGCTTTTCATGAATAGTAGACTCGTTCACGTCATTCAGAGATTTGTGCACGTGTGCGCGCGAACGTGTGTGTGTGTACTGTATTCACAACAACAGTAGTGGGTACAGCTGGTGGTGCATCTACCGGTCATCTCAGTCAGCCAACTCATGGCACTTGCTGGGTCTGTCCCGAGACCTCCTGCACCTAGCCTGGCACAGTAGGGGGTACAGCTGGTGGTGCATCTACCGGTCATCTCAGTCAGCCAACTCATGGCACTTGCTGGGTCTGTCCCGAGACCTCCTGCACCTAGCCTGGCACAGTAGGGGGTACAGCTGGTGGTGCATCTACCGGTCATCTCAGTCAGCCAACCCATGGCACCTGCAGGGTCTGTCCCAAGACCTCCTGCACCTAGCCTGGCACAGTAGGGGGGTAGAGCTGGTGGTGCATCTACCGGTCATCTCAGTCAGCCAACCCATGGCACCTGCAGGGTCTGTTCCAAGACCTCCTGCACCTAGCCTGGCACAGTAAGGGGGTACAGCTGGTGCTGCATCTACCGGTCATCTGAGTCAGCCAACGCATGGCACCTGCTGGGTCTGTCCCGTGACCTCCTGCACCTAGCCTGGCACAGGCGCCCCAACTTATGCTGTTGGGTGGACAGAAACGGCAAAGTTTTGCGGCGAAAATTTGGTGAAATGGAATCGAACCACGACGCTCTGGATCGCAAGTCCGTGTGCGTGGTGAGCGAACCGTTCACACTGTTGGCGACACCGCTTGTTTGGACGTCAACATTGCTGACGCAAATAGCCAGGGAGCAGGTCATTTGAGGTCTGCACATGTAATCTTTTAGCTGTACACCCCCCCACCGCGTCAGCTACGAAATTTTAAATCCGGATAGAAAACTCATCCCTGAGAACTGATTTGTGTGGTTAGTGTTGTTGTCCTTGCCCCCCACGCCACCGATTAGCGCGGTTTGGCTACGTGCGGTGCGAGACACACACACACGTCGTCGTCAGCCATGGTCAATCCACTGCTCGATGAAGACCTCCCCAAGCCTCCACGTGACGATCCCGACCAGCGGATTTCACTGCTCCGTCTCCGCCCTGTGAAGCGGGATTCCCTCTGGGACGGCTCGCGACCCACGTCAAAGCTGCTCGTCCTCTCACCTCTTCGCTGGGACAGCTGATCGCGATGACGATGACGACGTTGCTGATGATGTCGAGGGGTAAAAACGCAAACTCGTGGGATGATTGCGTGGCAGCACACCCCAAAAAAAACGCGATTCACGTTATAGCGAACAAATTAGCCACGGGATTCGTTTAACGCGGACGGGCGAAGAGGCGTTCCATCACGGGGCGATCAGCCGCCTCCTCGTCACTCCGCGCTCGCTACCAGCCGCGATCACTGCTCCGACGAACTTCCACTCGACGATTTCTCCCCGAAAGCACGCGATGTCCGCTACTGCAGGTCACAGCAACACACTCATTCACTCACCTACTCACCACACAGCAGGTCACATCAACAAACTCACTCACACACCTACTCACCACACTGCAGGTCACATCAACACACTCACTCACCTACTCACCACACTGCAGGTCACAGTATCACACTCACCCACACTCACTCTGTGGGGGCCGTCGGCCCCCGGGGTCCCTCCCGCCTGCACCCCCTATTCCGTTTACGTTACCCCACCTCCCTATTACCCGCTACGGTTTCGCCGGCATTCGGATGCGACGCCCCTACTGTTACAGCCTCGCGCCGCGCTCCCACGCTGCGAGCATACGTGCGCACATCATCGTCAATCAAACGCCGTGCTCGCAGTATAGCCCTGTGCGGCACGTTACCCATGCGCATCCGTATCCGACGTGTAACGAACGTATGCACACACACACACGCCGCTCCGTGCGCTCCAACTCCACACCAACTACGCAAGTTATGATCGCGCACCTGTATCACACACGGAGTGAACACACGCGACACCCACTCTTGCGCCGCTCTGCGCAGCGCTCGCCGTCTGCTGGCCGCTTGCGTTATGATCGCGCACCTGGGGTACGCCTATTACGCACGCCGCGAGCTTACGCACACACAGTACCACACGCGTTCCCACACGCTCACACTGCACGACAAGATCACGCGAGACCACGCTTCGCTATTAATGATTTATTACCTGGTAACTAATGTTCAATCAGTGAGTCGACGAGGCGGGCCTATTCCACTAAACCGGCACCTATTCCCTATTTATCGGCTATGATTCTAATTCACCTTCTTACTCACTGTTAAGTGTCCACGGCGGTCCGCTGATCCTGGTGCTAACCGCGTGCCTCGGTGCGTCGCACGGACGTCCGGGTCGCTGGCTCGAGCTGCGTCTGGTCGCCTGGCGCTGGAGTAAGAGAGCGATTTCCCCTCTGCGCTCCTCTATTTATCCTCCCTACCTCAAAGGGGATGCTGCGCTGAACAATGGGCTCGTGCACCCCAAGCCCGCGCACGGCGGTTCCCGGGCGCTGTTGATATGCTAATCAGTTAGCGACGTTGGCGGCGTACATCCTAATTACTCCCTTACCCTTCCTAACAATGGGGCCTGCGCGCTCAAGCGCAATTATCCCAACCCTCCATGACTATGCGCAACAGCCCCTGTGACCCCGCTATTCATGCTGTCCCGTGCCTCCCCTGCTTGCCCCGTCGACTCGTGGGGGTGTGTGTGGGGGGAAATGCGCCTCAACCGCGGTGGCCGAATGCCCCACGCCGCGACCACACCATATTAAGGCCGGCCGCAGCGCCGCGGTGCCACGTAGCACGGGGGAGGTCATCCAATTCCCTGATCGCCGGAAACCGTGAGAATTAATCCCGATAAGGGTCTCTCGGATAAAAACCGGTCGATCAGGTAACCTTCCCTTCCAGCTCTATGGGGGGGGGGGGGGGAATGCGTGCGGGTGTGTGCTTATGTGGGGCGGGTGATGGGGGGCAGTGCGGTGGGGAAAGCCGGGCGGCTCCCTGGCTCGGCAGAGCGGCCCCGTCGTTGTGGCACCACATAGCCCCCCGGGGTGCCAGTCCCCGTCCCGGGTTGACTGGAGCACCTCGCCTGGGTTGCCCCCACGAGGTATCGCCGCGGGGTCCGCGGGATTCGCCCGGCCCTTGTGGCTGGCCTCGGGGGTGGCGGCTCCGTCTCCTGGGGCTCCGGCGGTGGTCTCCTCCTCCATTCCAACGGCTCCCCTCGGCCTCTGGCACCTGCGGGCTGGGGAACAAACTCAGAGGCGGTGGGGTTTAAGGGTCGCCGTCCTCGTCGCCCCCGGCCCCGCCCGGGGCCCCTCGGAGCCCGGGGCTCCGTGGGGCCCATGTACTGCGCGAGGCCCCCGGGCACGGGGGGTGGGGGGACCCCGGGGTTTCGGGGTACTTGGACGGCGGTACTCCCCCCCGTCGGGGGCTGCTCGCCACGGCTTCAGTCGGCGGATGTTGACCACCATCTCCCGGCCCCTCTCTCCTCCCTGAATCAGCACCGTCCATGGTGAGATCTGCCGTCTCACAATCCAGGGTCCTCGCCAGTAGGTGGTCAGCTTCCCCACCTGTCCGGCACCGACGCGGGGAGTGTACAGCCACACCTCGGAGCCCGCAGTGTAGAAGGGGGGCTCCATACGGGGTCGGGCGCCCTGCTCTTGCCGCTGGTGTGCGGCCTCTCCGTGCGGGTAGGCTCGGCCCCTGGCCCCTCGCAGGGTCTCCAGCAAGTGCTCCACGGGGTGGCTCCCTTCCTCCCGTTGCGGCGGAGGGACACCGAACAGCAGATCTGCGGGCAGGCGAGACTCGCGACCAAACATCATTAGGAACGGGGTCTGTCCTGTAGAGGTGTGAACGGCGGTGGTGTAGGCGAACAGGGCATAGGGAAGGTGTTCGTCCCAGTCCTGTTGATTCGCGGCCGCCATGCGTTTAAGCTTCCCGGCCAGAGTCTGGTTCATCCTCTCTACCATCCCGTTCGCCTGGGGGTGATACGCCGTGGTTCGGTCCTTCTGGATCCCGAACTCTCGGCACAGCGCCTGAAATAGTTCGGCCTCGAATTCACTACCCTGGTCGGTAATGACTCGTTCGGGGATCCCGCACTTAAGTACGTAGTTTTCCACGAAGGCCCGGGCCACTACGAGGGCTGTTTTATCCGGGATAGCCACCGCCACGGGGTAGCGGGTGAAGTATTCCACCGCTACGAGAATATATCGGTTGCCCCGGTGGGATCGTGGAAAGGGCCCCTGCAGGTCGATTCCGACCAACTGATTCGTCCGACTGACTCGGAACGGCCTCAGGGGTACCTGGTACCTCGCCGGCTTTTGCCCACACTGCTGACAGGCCCGGCAGCCCTGCACCCAGGCGGCCACATCTTGTGCCAATTTGGGCCAGAGATACTGGCGACGCAGGGTCTCTCGAGTGCGTCGTTCCCCATCGTGGCCCCCGAGTGGGTGGTCATGCACCAGCCGTAGCAGCTGGGGTCGCACCTGGGCAGGAACACAGATGCACCCCGGCTGGCCGGCCTCGGTTAACTCCCGTACCACTCCGTTCTGCACACACAACCGGGCATACAAACCGCTCCAGGGTCCTGGTAGGGCGCTCTTTTCCTCCCGCAGTGCCGCCTCCACTGCCGCCAGATCCGGATCTCGCTGCTGGGTCTGTCTCAGCTGCTCGTCGTTTAGGCCCGGGAAGGCGCAGCCGACGTCCTCCTGGATCCGTCCGATCGGGTCCCGAGCCGCGGGTCCCGCGCTTGCCGGGCGGTCGACGGGATCCTCAGTGCCACCTGTGAGGGTCTCTGTGGCGCACACTGCACTCTCTCTCGCTGGGGGGGGGTCAGTGGCCGCGGCTTCTCGGGGGTCCGTTGCCTGCCGGCAGCGTCCCCCCGTGAAACACGGGCAGGCCTCCTCCGCCCTCGTCTCGGCGTACACCGTGGGTCGCCTCGACAAGGCGTCCGCGTTTGCATGCGTCCGGCCAGCCCGATACTCGATTTGCAGGTTGTACTCCTGCAACTGCGCCAACCACCGGGCCATCTGCCCCCGTGGCTCCTTGAATGTAAGAAGAAACTGCAGAGCATAATGGTCAGTGCGTACGCGACATCTCCTGCCGTACAAATACGGCCGGAACTGTTTGCATGCGAAAATCACGGCGTACAACTCTTGGCGGGTCACGCAATAGTTCAGCTCGGCCCCACTCAAGGTCCGGCTGGCGTACGCGATGACTCGTTCCGTCCCATCCTGTACCTGTGACAACACCGCGCCCAGCCCGCTGCTGCAGGCGTCGGTGTCCAAAATAAAATCGGTGGTAAAATCGGGGAAAGCGAGGGTGGGGGCGTGGGTGAGGTGGTCTTTGAGAGTGGTGAAGGCCGTCTGGCAGGCCCCCGTCCACTGATAGGGGTGCTTAGGGGAGGTGAGTTGGGTGAGGGGGCGTGCAATCTCGCTGAATCCCTTTACAAATCGACGATAATAGGTGGCGAGCCCCAAAAATGATCTGATCACCGTCAGATTCCTTGGCCGTGGCCACTCCACTACGGCGCGTACCTTCTCCGGATCGGTGTGCACGCCTGCCTCGCTGACGCGATGCCCGAGGTACCCCACCTCGCGTTGTGCGATGTAACACTTACGT